TACGTTTCAAAACATTTCGTCACAAAATAGAAAAGTTACCGTTATATCCATTATATATATTGGTCATTTTAAGTTTTGCACGTGCGCGCTCTTGCAAGCACGTGCGCGCAAAATGACCTTGATTCCGCAAATCTACATAACATGCCTACTTACCCTAAAAAGGTTTCACCTAAGTCGGATGTGTAGTTTACAAGATCACTCGCGGAAAAGATTTTCCCAGGAAGAAAAATAATAATAATAATAATAAGAATAATAATAATAAGAAACAGAGTAAAAACAATATGTTCCCCAACTTCGTTTGGGGAACATAATAAGAAACAGAGTAAAAACAATATGTTCCCCAACTTCGTTTGGGGAACATAATAAGAAACCGAGTAAAAACAATATGTTCCCAAACTCCGTTTGGGGAACATAATAACTAGAAACTCTTGTTGCTACAGCAACAAATAAGGTCTTCCGTTCTTCTCTAATTATCTGTATAAAGGCTATTTTTCTACTTAAAAAAAAAAAAACAAAACAAAAAAACAATTCCTCCATCTGGGCTCGATCCCAAAACCATTAGTATGAAAGTCGGACACGCTAACCACTGAGCCACCAAATTCCACAACATATGAGATATTTTGTAAGCTTATTATTTTAAGGTTGAAGGAAATAGTTTCGAAGTGAAAGAAATAGTTTCGTAGTAAAGTCCCGGGCAAATTTCTTAAAAAACTGAGGTATTGGATGTTTGATGTGATATTGTATGTAGGAAAATGATTAGAATAATTATGGGACACATTTGCAGTGAAGCAATGACACTTAGCATATACAGAGTTGTAAAAGCGAAAGTAATACACGTGGTCAGTTGCAGAGGAAATTCTAAATCCCGGAAAAACAGTGAGTGAGTCATGGGCATTTTTTCAACACCATATCGTATCAAGCTGGGTAACTGCAACTGATTTAACCTATCTAAATTGCGTGGAAATTTAATTGATATAAAAAATCGCCATTTCCAAGATTCAGTCGATTCATATTTTAATCTAAATAAAATTGAAATAAATTCCATACACCCAAGAGAGCAAGAATACTTGGTATTAAAATGTCGTAATAGAGCAGAAGAATCGAATGATATTAACAACAATTGTAGAAATAGCCGATGCGAGCTTTAATTAATGTTTATGCTCAGCAATAACTAAATTTCAGACAGAAAAAAAAAATGCAGATTTTGCCGATATTCACTAGAATTTCATTTTAGTTTAGTGACTCACCTTAAAACTCTCAGGACACTTTCTTTCAGGTCTCTTCTTGCTTTTATTCCGAATCTTATGTCAACATTTCGTGCCGTTTGGCTCGAAGACATTTTCTCTACGTTGCTGTTGATTGTTTTGTTTTTTTTTTAGAGAAGGGAGGGGATATTATATAAGCATTTGTTAGAGTAAGTGTTGCAAATACCTCCACGACTTTAAGCTTGATTGTGACCTTTGGGTTAATGGGGCCAAAGGACAAGGTCATTTATGAAGGTCAAAGGTCATCAAAGAGAGAGAGAGAGAGAGAGAGAGAGAGAGAGAGAGAGAGAGAGAGCACTCGCGCTCACCGACTTGTGGGGAACTCACACCTGACAAAGGACCTTTCTTATGGGGAAAGTTCAGAATTGTGGGGAACTCTCTCGTTCCCCACAAATATGGTCATGGGGTTTTTTGAATTCTACGTGTTCTACTGATAATATTTATTCGATTTGTGGTCATTTTTGAAAAAATCCCCATAAGTCCGTAAAATTGACTCGCAGTAATTTTCTCACTGCACCGTAAAACGAATGTTTGAGGATGCTGGGAAATGTTCATTCGGAACGCAGCGGAATTTAAACTGGTCCCCATATGATACCAATTTATTGCGGGCAATGGCTGCTCCGAGAATATGTGGTAAGTAGATTTTTTATCATATTTTAAAGATATTATAGGCTGAAAACTTAATTTAACTACGTAAATCATGCATGCAGTTATTTCTTACAGACGTTCGTAAAGTAACATTTAATAATGAATGCACGTAAAACTTTGGGAAAGTTTGACCCGACCTAGACCTCGGTTATTTTTTTTTTTATAATTGTATCATGTTTATAGGCCTAATGGCTATCCTGTAACTGTGTAAGAACAAACTACGGATTTATATGAATTCAGCACCCCCGGGATATGGTAAGCGTTTAAGGCTTGTCCCCATTTTTTTGTGAAACGCGACTATCCTCCTCATGCCCATACAAATTATGCTAGACGGTGCGACTGTCTGGTCTTTAGCTGTTTAGTGAGGCCTGTGTGGGCGAATTAATTGTAAAAGTTAATCTGACTTAAACTGTACGTGTATTTATAAACGATGTCAGTCACACACTGACTCAGTGTCAGAAATGTATCACAGAGAACTCCACCTTTTCAAAAGGTCCATTGAAATCAGTACATTTATAGATTTACGTAGCTAAAATTTCTTAGCTTCAATGGTTAGATTATTTAACATGTTTAATTCTTCCAAAAAAAGCTTGATTTAGTTATCGTTTTTTTATCAAGTCATTCTTCCTACTTGTATATATTTCTTCGCATGCGTTGGTTTGCATAGTGTCCATTTGCCTTCATTATCTTTCACCTGCACCCTGTTCTACATTCATCCTGATTGCCCTACTGAAAATATTTTCATGATTTTAGACCATCATTATCGATGTATCATAAGTATTTTTTTTTATTTTGCTAAGGCCAAGATTATACATATATTACATGGCTTCGAGGGCAGCATACCAGAATATTTGCCCCAAGGTGACAGGAAAGCCCTGGAGTGTTATGTCGCCCGATGCCGCAGGCAGAGGGCGACATAACACTCCAGGGCTTTCCTGTCACCGAGGGGCAAATATTCTGGTATTGCTGCCCGAGAATTAAGCCATGTAATATATGGTATATAACATTTTTAAGCATTGAACCCAAATCGATCATCGAAAATATTTGTTGAACACTATGTTCACATAATGATATACATGACATGTACGTTGAGTATAATTCCAAAAAATCCTGTCCTGTTACATGGCAGAATGTTTTCAGTATGCTGACACTTGTGTTGATAACCTTTATTGTATTTAAAGAATTTTTCTCCTCAAATAAATTATCTAATACCTCTGAATTCAAATAGATACATCGCAGACGTTGCCTCGACTTTTTAACTTTCGCGGAACTGTTTACGTTTGCTTAGTAACTGCCTCTGTGAATTTCAAACCCGACGTAATTAATATGCAGCGTGATTGCACGCGAGGGAACATAACTGTGTTCGGGAGGGCAACATAACCGTTTCCGGGGAACATAACTGTATCCGGCGTGATTCGGCAGTTTTTCAGGGCATATGGATAAAAATATTATATTTGTGATATAATGGGAAAACTTATTCAAAAATGTTATATAAATAGATAGTGTTTCCTATTTTAACCTTAGAAAAGATAGGGTAGGTAGGTAGGAAAAACATTTTTATTTTATTTTAACATTTTATTGGCAGGCACGCTGCCACTTTCCCCCAGGATTTCACTGTCAAAATATTTCTGATTAATATGTGTAAGATATGCATTTCTCAAACATGGAAGTGATCAAGATTGGGATTTCATTTCTAATTGTAAACTGGAATTCCGAATACTGTAATATGTGTATATAATTTGGTGCTTTCAAAATTTAGCATAATCACTGGGTTGGCATAATCATAAATTAGCGCTACACATGTATGTGCGGTATATTGTATATATCAATATGTAAATGATTTCTTAGCAGTATTCATGAATTAGTGCATTGTTGTCTGCACCAAAGCCGCTAAAATATGAAGCCTGCATTTTAGAGTATACATACAGTAGTTTACTCATGGAAAGATATTAGCAGAAAAAATATTGAGGGTCGGCTCCTATACTTCTTAGAGTTAGGCGGGGAACTAAACATGCTGAAAACACACTACTTATTTATTTAGGCTCAATTAAAATGTCTAATAAATTCATTTTAATTAAATACTTATTGTTAATTAAAGATCACCTTTTATTTTTAAAATTTGTTACAATTCAAACCTTGGCCTTGGGGTTTAGATGCTGATGGAATAAATAAGAAACAAAATCATATGTAAAAAATAACTAAAAATCCTTTTCAAAACCTCAATTACTATTGAATTATGATTGGGCGTGGTATACAAAATAATGCGAATTGGAGGAAATGGAGAAACATAGTAATAACAATTAGATCAGCTTTTATGATAGCGAGCATATTAAAAATTTAAAATTGGTTATAAAATTGAAAGGTAATGTTGAGATTTTAAGATTCAATATCTATTATTCATAATTATTTATATAATTTGCTTAACTGAATTTATACCTTTTTAAATTTATTTACATATAACGATCGTGCTCAAAGTTTTGGGTCTGATAATGCTTCCTGATTTTGGTCTTTTATTTTTTTTTTTAAGAAAACCATTTGATTTCTGCACCCACTCCTCCTTTCTAAAAATTTTTAATCTGCCTCTGGTAACTTTACGCTGTAAATTTCTATTCTCATTTTAATTAAATTTAAATAAATACTAACAGCACTATCATGCAATTTCAATGACTATCATTTAAGGTATTGATTTAGTTTTCTGTCATTCCTAAAAATAAGTTGTACTGTATCGTTGATTTTTTGCATATAAAACAGTTTCTGCTCATCAAACATCCACGAGAAAGTGTTCTGTTTCGCAGTTATTGTACGGTTGATTTAAAAGGGAAAGCTCTCTGGGCCATGTCACAAGAAGGAAAAAAAAAATAAAATATTCTTCATACCTACCTACCCACTGTTAACAATATGGTTCAGGAAAGGGCATACATTAAGTCTTAATTTTGGCATGCCGCATGGGGTCAAAAATTACTATTGAGTGATGTGGAGATATACCTGTCTTGTAATTATAGGTAAAGATATGAACACTTTAAAAAAAATATACAATGAAATCTTTGAATTGAAAGCAAAATTATCATTGCAGGTTTTCGGGTTTTTACCACAAGAGCAAGTTATACAACTTTATTCTTGAAAATGTTAGAGACTGAGACTTGGAGTCAAAGTCAACAGACACGCTTGCATGGACATGAAGGATGTAAAGAACTAGAGTATTATAACTGAAAGCATTTTGTCTGGATTTGTGTATGGAAACAGAAGGATTTAGTATTGGTAAGTCAAGATATCTGTAAAATCTCATTTTGAACTCTATATGTGAGCAGTACTGTAAACCAACTACCAGGTAGTACACATGTACCCTATTTGTGTCATCTTTTATTTGCATATCTAATCTGTGTTGATTAATTTCCGTGACTAATGAAAGGAAACATTCTCTACAAATATAAAGCAAAATTAATAGTTCAGGGCAATTAATAATTTACTATTCACTAGTAAATGTAGGTCATGAAACTGGCAAATATTTCTTGCACTCAAATAAAAGTTGGTTTACAGTACTTCCGTTGCTCTAAAAACAGAAATAATATAAAAAAAAGCATGCTGATATCATGTATGTTATGAAGCCTAATACATGTACATAGAAGTATATAAACCGGTATATCTAAAAAACAAGCTAATTCAGAGAATTTGTGTCCCCCGCTTAGGGAAAAAGTCGGCTCCCCCTGATTGAATTTATAGAATTATTAAATGTATACATGTATACTGAAGCAAATAAAATACATGTATGTCAATATGCATATAAAGATTTGATATGCTGAATACTATCATTTAGTAAAAAAAAAGAAAAAGGTATTTAAAAAAAAAAAAAAAAAAAAAGGAAGGTTCGACCTAGAATGGATCCCGGCACCTTTTACATCTGAAGCGAGAGACATAACCACTAGACCACGGAGTCGCTTTACTCGGTGGGAAGTATATGCAGAACCGAAGTCACATACATGTATATATTCATGTTTTCATGTTCGGTATTCTCAAAATTTTACACAATCCATGGTGTTTGATTTATTTAGCTCTAATAGAAGTAATAAGTCCGCCGAGAACCTGTTTTATACGCAATAACTCTCCTCATGCCCCTGCGCTAAAAATAGCGACATGTAATACTATAAATACTAATAAAACAAACGGGGTGGGGCACTTTGAGAGGGGCGAGAGACGTCCTAGGGAGTTTTGGTATAAAATTACATTGCATAAGCTCAAAATCTTCCTGAAATATCGCCCGGAAATGATAGTACTACACACAGACAGAATGTATAAATTTACGACCTTGAACTTTGACCTTTGACCTCGAAATCAATAGGGGTCTTCATTAGGCCACAGGGAGTTGTTATATAAAATTTCATTGCAATAGCTCAAATGGTTCTGGAGATATCGTGTGGAAACGAAAGTGTTTTAACAGACAGAATTTGCTTATTTATAACCTTGACCTTTGACCTTTTGACCTCAAAATCAATAGGGGTCTTCTTTAGTCCATAGGGAGTTGCTATGCTAAATTTCATTGCAAAAGCTCAAAGGGTTCTCGAGATATCGTGTGGAAACGAAAGCGTTACAGACAGACAGAAAGACGGACGGACGGACGGACAAACCCAAATTAATATCCCCCACTTTTCAAGCGGGGGACAACAAACGGGGCGGGGCACTTTGAGAGGGGCGAGAGACGTCCTAGGGAGTTTTGGTATAAAATTACATTGCATAAGCTCAAAATCTTCTTGAAATATCACCCGGAAATGATAGTGTTACACACAGACAGAATGTATAAATTTACGACCTTGAACTTTGACCTTTTGACCTCAAAATCAATAGGGGTCTTCTTTAGGCCACAGGGAGTTGTTATGTAAAATTTCATTGCGATAGCTCAAATGGTTCTAGAGATATCGTGTGGAAACGAAAGTGTTTTAACAGACAGAATTTGCTTATTTATGACCTTGACCTTTGACCTTTTGACCTCAAAATCAATAGGGGTCTTCTTTAGTCCATAGGGAGTTGCTATGCTAAATTTCATTGCAAAAGCTCAAAGGGTTCTCGAGATATCGTGTGGAAACGAAAGCGTTACAGACAGACAGAAAGACGGACGGACGGACGGACGGACGGACGGACAAACCCAAATTAATATCCCCCACTTTTCAAGCGGGGGACAAAAAAAAAATTTGGTCCTTGTTCATGATTTCAAAGTAGGTTAAAAGCCTCATGAACATGCTGAGAAGTTGTCAGAAAATTTACATGTGTGCTAACCATGCTAACTGTGTAACAATAATCAGAAAATTTTACAAAATATAATCAAAATTTGGTTAATAATAATTAGTCATTGGCCAATTAAATCCATCAATGATTAAATTAGTACTTATATACTGAAAGGAAAAAGAAACGCAGGGTAAACTTTTGAGGTGAATTAAATTTATTTTTCTTTCAATATTTTTTGTCCCCCGCTTGAAAAGTGGGGGATATTAATTTGGGTTTGTCCGTCCGTCCGTCCGTCCGTCCGTCCGTCCGTCCGTCCGTCCGTCTGTCTGTCTGTAATGCTTTCGTTTCCACACGATATCTCAAGAACCCTTTGAGCTTTTGCAATGAAATTTAGCATAGCAACTCCCTATGGACTAAAGAAGACCCCTATTGATTTTGAGGTCAAAAGGTCAAAGGTCAAGGTCATAAATAAGCAAATTCTGTCTGTTAAAACACTTTCGTTTCCACACGATATCTCTAGAACCATTTGAGCTATTGCAATGAAATTTTACATAACAACTCCCTGTGGCCTAAAGAAGACCCCTATTGATTTTGAGGTCAAAAGGTCAAAGTTCAAGGTCGTAAATTTATACATTCTGTCTGTGTGTAACACTATCATTTCCGGGCGATATTTCAGGAAGATTTTGAGCTTATGCAATGTAATTTTATACCAAAACTCCCTAGGATGTCTCTCGCCCCTCTCAAAGTGCCCCGCCCCGTTTGTTTTATTAGTATTTATAGTATTACATGTCGCTATTTTTAGCGCAGGAGCATGAGGAGAGTTATTGCGTATAAAACAGGTTCTCGGCGGACTTTATGTTCTTATTACATCTATTAGAACTGTTTAATAAAGGCTAAATAAATCAAACACCATGGATTGTGTAAAATTTTGAGAATACCGAACATGAAAACATGAATTATATACATGTATGTGACTTCAGTTCTGCATATACTTCATTTCGAGTAAAGCGACTCCGTGGTCTAGTGGTTATGTCTCTCGATTCAAATGTGAGAGGGCCCGGGATCGAGTCTCGGTTGCAGCGTTCATTTTTTTTTTTTTTTAAATACTTTTTTTTTTACTAAATGATAGTATTCAGCATGTGAAATGAAAAATTTATGAGGTTATAAAATCATCATTACAGTGTGATAAATATTCCATATGAAAAAATCTATACACATAATAAAGAATAAGCAATCAAATCTTTATATGCATATTGACATACATGTATTTTATTTCCTTCAGTATACATGTATACATTTAATAATTCTACAAATTCAGTCAGGGGGAGCCGACTTTTTCCCTAAGCGGGGGACACGAATTCTCTGAATTAGCTTGTCAGTATTCCTATCTTACTTTTAAAATAATCTTTCAAAAAGATATTACTAAAATTTCATTTGATTTTGTCTAATAATTCTTGAGTTATTGAAGCTCATATGACGATACCCCCCAAAAGTGAAAATCGAAAACACTCATTATCTTCAATGTCTCTCCTGCACATCTGTCATGAGCTTTTTTTCTTCTTTGCATCGAATTCATCATAGTGATTATCTTTTAAACCCTGGCTGTATTGGGCATCGGTAACCACGCCAAAAAATTAGTCCTGCAACGCGCGCATGCGCGAGTGAGAGGAACACAACAGTAAGTTGACATGCTCAAAAAACCAAATTGTAGAATTGTTTTCTTTAATTTTTTGTGATAATGTAATCACTATAATAGTCTACTGTATAAAAGTCCGTTTTTGTGGTATTAGGGTTGCTATTTTAGAGGTTGCAGGACGAATAATCCGCTCGTAACATGACTCTGTTTCGCATTAACGTCATCGTCACGGTTGATTGAAAACCATTCCAGGCCCTCTTTGACAACGGGTAACAAGTTGTATGGGGGAAAATTTACAAGAAACTGCTTAGTTACCCGTTGTTGCCTTTTTCATTAATTAGGCAATTCGAAAATCAGACCCCACTGAACTTCCGTAAACTGTACCAAGATTGCAAGAAATTCACATCGTCTTTAAATATTGAAAAACAATGTGTATACCTCAGGTGCATCAAATGGTGCAACAAGATTTGTTGACAAACTCGCCGTTATCAAATTGCACGTGTTTTTGGATTTTTATCATTTTTCCCTATATGACGTCATACATTTTACGGTTGAGTAATTCTGAACACTGATTTTGGTGCATAGTAACTAAATTTCTCATCTGACCAATTTTCGTAATTTTAGGTCATGCGGCCAAAAAGTTTTCGAAAATTATGCTACCCTGCGTTTCTTTTTCCTTTTAGTATATATACTGTCTCCTGATTTTATGACTTTTTATCCTTTTCAACATACTTATTGTCCCCCGCTTGAAAAGTGGGGGATATTAATTTGGGTTTGTCCGTCCGTCTGTCCGTCCGTCCGTCCGTCCGTCTTTCTGTCTGTCTGTAACGCTTTCGTTTCCACACGATATCTCGAGAACCCTTTGAGCTTTTGCAATGAAATTTTGCATAGCAACTCCCTATGGACTAAAGAAGACCCCTATTGATTTTGAGGTCAAAAGGTCAAAGGTCAAGGTCATAAATTAGCAAATTCTGTCTGTTAAAACAATTTCGTTTCCACACGATATCTCTAGAACCATTTGAGCTATTGGAATGAAATTTTATATAACAACTCCCTGTGGCCTAATGAAGACCCCTATTGATTTTTAGGTCAAAAGGTCAAAGTTCAAGGTCGTAAATTTATACATTCTGTCTGTGTGTAATACTATTATTTCCGGGCGATATTTCAAGAAGATTTTGAGCTTATGCAATGTAATTTTATATCAAAACTCCCTAGGACGTCTCTCGCCCCTCTCAAAGTGCCCCGCCCTGTTTGTTTTGTTAGTATTTATAGTATTACATGTCGCTATTTTTAGCGCAGGGGCATGAGGAGAGTTATCGCGTATAAAACAGGTTCTCGGCGGACTTTATGTTCTTATTACATCTATTAGAACTGTTTAATAAAGGCTTAATAAATCAAACACCATGGATTGTGTAAAATTTTGAGAATACCGAACATGAAAACATGAATATATACATGTATGTGACTTCATCTCTGCATATACTTCATAAGATATAAAGCGATTCCGTGGCGTAGTGGATATGTCTCTCGCTTCTAGCGCGACAGATTCCGGGATCGAATCTCGATCGAACCTTTCTTTTTTTTTTTTTTTAATATTTTTTTTTACTAAATGATAGTATTCAGCATGTGAAATGAAAAATATATGAGGTTATAAAATAATCATTACAGTGTGATAGAAATTTCATATAAAAAAAATCTTCTATACACATAATAAAGAATAAGCAATCAAATCTTGATACATGTAGACATTTAATAATTCTACAAATTCAGTCAGGGGGAGCCGACTTTTTCCATAAGCGGGGGACACGAATTCTCTGAATTAGCTTGTTATTTTTGAATTGAAAACATTTTTTTTACCTGAGAAAATTAAAATTTGCAATTTGTTTTAAATCTAGTGAAGGAAAACAAATGTTTTTAAAATTAATGTGCTTTGATTTAAAAGACTTGTAAACATTAGATTAGTAATACATGTAGTTTCAATACAATTATTAATATTGATAATTGATTTTTTTTAAGATTTGATAGTTATTTTATTTGTTGAAAAATAATTTTTATCTGTAATGTTCATGTATAATAAAATAATGCATTTTCCAATAAGTGATAAATGTTTCCCACAAGTCAGCAATATACACTGAAGTGTACATTTATTGGTTGGGTTCAAAGGCAACATTTATATGGAAACAAAGTTTTAAGGGTAAAGCAATGGTCAATACATGTGTATTCCTCACAAGTGAACAGTGAGAAATATTCCCCACAAGTCAGCAGTGATAAATATTACCTAAAATTGTTAACTGTGAGAAATATTCCCCACAAGTCAGCAATGATAAATATAGCCTACGTGAGAAATATTCCCCACAAGTCAGCAGTGATAAATATTCCCCACAAGTCACCAATGAAAAGTATTACAAGTTAACAGTGATAAATATTCCCCACAAGTCAGCAGTGATAAATATTCCCCACAAGTCAGCAATGAAAAGTATTACAAGTTAACAGTGAGAAATATTCCCCACAAGTCAGCAGTGAGAAATATTCCCCACAAGTCAGCAATGAAAAGTATTACAAGTTAACAGTGAGAAATATTCCCCACAAGTCAGCAATGATAAGTATTACCTACAAGTCAACTGTGAGGAATATTCAATAACAACATACAATTATTTTAACCCATTCTCAATCAAATTTGGGGAGTAAATTGGAATTAGCATGTCTGTCTATCTTTCTATAGGCATTACATATTGAGGGATAATGGTGGCATTATTTTTTTAGGAAATCTCACATCAACTTTTTTGTTTTTTTTAGGAGATCTCACATCAACTTCCTGTTTTCCCGTGGGGATCCGGGTTAGAATAGGTCCTCAGTACCCCCTTGCTTGTCGTAAAAGGCGACTAAATGGGGCGGTCCTTCGGATGAGACCGTATAAACCGAGGCCCCGTGTTACAGCAGGTGTGGCACGATAAAGATCCCTCCCTGCTCAAAGGCCGTAAGTGCCGAGCAAAGGCCTAAATTTGCAGCCCTTCACCGGCAATGGTGACGTCTCCATATCAGTGAAATATTCTGGAGAGGGACGTTAAACAGTATACAATCAATCAATCAATCAACTTCCTGTTTATCTGTGCGTGTAAATTTTAATGTTTTTTTTTCAGCAACTACTATGGTAGCAAGAAGTTTGAAATTTTTTAACACTCTTTGTCGAGGCATATTATATACTGGTAGTGAGATTCATTTTTATGCAAATTCGATGTCAACTTCCTATATATCCACGTGTCCCGAGATCTGTACGCAATTTTTGTTGCAGTTTTTTCACCAACTGACTATCACAGATATAAAAATGTGGTACATGTATCCATTAGATTGAACCCTAGCAATAAAAATCCTGAGTAGCATTCTCTACTGAGACTAGCAAGCTAACCACTATGCTACACAAGTCCTGATGAGGATTGGCATTTAAATCATGTTTGTGATATGACCATTGACTCAGTGGACTTCAAGTTTTTCTCGAAAAGATACAAAAGTTATATCATAAAATTATAATTTTTTAAAAGGTTTATTGGGTTTTTACTCCATAATTTTGGAAATCAAAATAGTATATTTCATTTTGTATGCAAACTTTGAGGATAAACTTGAAAAAAAAAAGTGGAGTGAAGACCCACTCATACATTTCAAAACATTGTTTTAAAAAGTGTGTAGTGTTGTTATGATAGTCGCTGACTATCGAAAAATCGTCGTTTAAAGGCCCAGATTGGCGAAAATCGATTGTAAATATTATCATCGATAGATCACTATATTTTTCAAGCCGTATTTCTCAAGCCGAGCATGTTTAACTTTTATATTCACCAAAGGGACATCACTCTAATCAGCAGTAAACAAAATGAGAACGTGCATGGTGAAGAGGTTATAATTATTATATCCATATCTTGATGCATTGTCTTTTTAAAATACTTCTAAGGATGAATAAATCTAACCTTTTATAACAGTTAAAATTATTAATTATATAATTATATAAGTGATTGTGTTCTTCCGATTCAATTTGATAATAGTAAATTTGTCTAATTTTACAACACTAAAAGTGTGAAAAAATGACTCAATTTGCCCTTTTTCGCGTGTGTATTATATTTTACAGGCCAAAAACTTCAATCTTCATGAGATATGTATAAGTTGTAGAGATTTGACAGATTTACATAAAGTATACTTTAATTTTAGATGAAATATTTCGGAAAATTTTGATACAATACTTGATATCGCGATTACTTAACTTAGCTGAACTCTTTCATGAAGGAGGTAGGAATCATCTGTTGGGTGGGAGCAATGTGCTATTCAATACAATTAGCATTTATAAGGACAGATAAGTAAAAAATCCTGGTGGAATACCTCGCTAGACAATCGCTGAACCAGCCTTATACATTTTTGAGAGGAGCCAATCCTAAAATTGTCACATTTTTAAAGATATGTTTAATTAAGCGGACTCTTATAGTTAAATTTTCATTGAAAATCGTCACATTTTTCAGTATATAAAATATTCTTAACTTTCCTTATTTGACAATCTACTATTTGGAATTCAATATCTGGCAAAACATCGTGATTTTGGCATTAAATTGTTCGAATCATTCGATTGTCACTAATGTAAACAATGTCATTTGCCCCCAGAAATTTAGACTTTTCTTGACTCCCTCGCAAAAGAGCGGAGGTAAGTTAGATAACTGCGAGGTACTCATTGGTAGTCGCGACATAACATATTGAGATTTAATTTTTTTCACCTTCATGTTTGTTGCGCTATAGGCTTATCCCTTGTTATGTTCTCGGACTCCCATCTCATTTATCATCCAATAATAAAATACATTTCCAAAGCATGTGAATTATATTTAGATGATAATTAAATACATATGATAAACAATAGATAAAAATTGATATTTTTGTCCTTTCTACTCTTCATGCATATAACATGTATAAAGTCCACAACAATAAAATGATTCATTTGATTTTTGTTAGGATTTGTTCATCGACATCCAATATATTGTTTACATGTTTATGTTACGTTTGTCCCAGAAATCCTGAAAGATTTGTACACTCTGCAACTTTTTTACAGAGGAGCGCACTAAAATCTTAAACTCTTCCATAGTTGAAATAAGACGTATTGGTAAATAGATTTTGCCCTGTAGTCCATCTGGCTGTTTGTCCTCAAAAACTTTAACCTTGCTCATAACTTTCTAGTGAGTGGGGCTATGGCTTTCATATTTCACTGCTGTACACTTGTATTTCTTGTGACAAGACCTTTCTTTGGGTACCACCACCACCAAATTTGACCTCTTGACCTTGAAGTTTGACCACTTTTACAAAAATATATCACTCTTCAACCTTAGTTATAACTTATAACTTTTGCACAGTTGGTGTTAGGGCTTTCATACTTCTCATTGGTATGTTCAATAATTTTTTTGACAGGTCTGCCCAAGTTTTGTATTAAAACGCTTCTGAAACTCATCTGTAAAAAACATTTAATATTGTTGGCCGATTTAAACATTTCGGGAAAATAGCAAAAAAAATGAAAACGTGAAAAAAAAAACTATGAGGTTCGGAGAGTAAAATGGAGGATAGGTCAGGTGACAGGAAACATGAGTACAGTCATGTATATTTTTTTTGCCCCGGTATAGTGTCATATTTGATATTATATGGAATATGTGATTTGCAGCACATTCTTACTGATATTTCTTTAAATTACAGGTATCCTGAATTTTTGTCAACTTCTAGCCAAGATCCTGTACTTAAGCTGAATGTGGAGGACAGATGTACACACAGTACTAGTATAGAGGGTAAGTAGACCATAAAAAAAACAAGATGTGTTTGTGAAACACTATGCGCCCGGCGGCAACAAAGTTTGGAAAAAGCTATTTTTAGCATTAAGGTCACAGTCAAGGTCACAAAGTCATTGACCTTGGTGTCATTTGAAAGAGATTGATTAGTGGAGTATGGAGTGGACTCCATGCCACTAAACTGGAAGTGAACACCGCAGTGAATATTTTACGTAATTGAAGAAAAGAAAAAAATTGTATGTAAATCTTCATGTACAATATTATGTTTCCATATGTGATCAATTAAAAAAAATATATTTTTAAAACAAAATAATGCCTCATCAGGTCGGTAAGACAAGCTGTTTGGCTCTTTGTTGACTTGGCTTTTCAATGATTTAAATTTGGCACCGTGTAAAAATAGAATTATCTGTCCCTGGTACATATCGTCTTACAAGTAAGAAAAAGAATTGATAACTTTTAAAGTTTTCTTAAATATTGTAACGGGGTGGGGGAACGAGCGGACGGTACCTCTCCTACTACTGCTGGGACCGCACTCCCTCACTCTATCTATAGGGGCTGTCTTATCTTTCGTGGCAAGGCCTGCGTTACACAGCTCAACCCGAGCTCAGGAGGGCTAGTATGACACAGTGGTTCAAAACTCAATACTCTTTAAATGTATTTCACAACACACTAAATTATCTCCCTTTAATCAATGAACTCAGATAATACCCCACTGTCCAAAACCTAAACCTCCTGTTATTAACCCGCGCTCTCTAAGTTACACTAAATTTATAAATGCACGAAATCTCTCAGTTTTACTTCTCTATTTGTCAAGCTCGTTACAACCTAGACCTACGGAAGTCACTAAAATTCTTAAATTATCATTACTCAGTTCTTATACTCTTATATCCCACAATTTCCATCTTGTTGGAAAATCACACATTGATAAAACCTTGTAAATCTCTGTACTTGAAATGAGACAAAATACAGTTTTACAATTTATTACAAGAATTATCTCTTAAATGAACAATCAACAAACAAATTCTAAGCTCTGTCTCAGTCTGTCTGTGTCACCTATTAGTCCTGACTTACCTAAAATCAACCTCAATACAACTCACAAAACTCTTAATTCTCAGAACTTCCTTCCAGACCTCCTGGATGAAAGTAAAATAAGGGTGAAACGTTTACTGAATTTTGTAAACGTTTAAACGGATAGCAGTAAACGAAACGGTACCGTTTAAACGGGATATATTCTATGTTGGATTTTTATGGCTACTTACTCATGAAACTCGAATTTAATAATCAATTCTTTCACTTTAATATAAGTATGAGTTGTTATTACAATTTCATTGTTGGTCATTATGACTTAAACATAAGAATTTGAGGCGCATTAAACTCATTCACTTTCTACCTCGTCACCCAACTGCTTGGGTTGTTTGGTTACATACCGGATGTAGAAAAAAGAATATTGTAAAGATGGGTCTTTTAATCTCGAAAAAAGTAAAACAAGACCTGCTGACTGTATCAAAACACTTTTAAAAGACTTGTAAAAAATGTATTATATTTATTAAATCAAAATATATCAAGTTTTATATTTCAAGTGTCGTAAAACATCGCTCGGAAATCGGAATTAAATATGTTACACCATATCGGGTTTTAGATATTTTAATTCAACATGTTTCCGGTTTAGATTGTTGCTTGTCAAATGGTCAAAGACGGTGTTTATGTTGTAAATTATGAAATAAAACAATTTGTTTGTGTTAAACTTTATTTCTGATAGACATTGATAATGACCTTCGTGTAAACGTTTACTCAAACTGTAAACGTTTAGAGCATATAATCGAAACGTCGCCGATTACACGTGTAATCGTTTCGCCCTTAAAGTAAAAACCAATAACTAAAACTTAATCCCTTAAACCTAATGAATTCCTAACAAATTTCAATCACCAGTAATTCCTGCAAATTTCCTAAGTCTGAATTCCAGTTAAAAACAGTAGCAAAATTTAGAAATACACTAGCTTCCTTAGCTAAATGTATAAATTACCTAAACAATTTTAAGTATTTCTAAAATTTAACAACAATTTACCAAAAATTCAAACAACCAGCAAAATTTAACCAAGTCCAATTCTCAGTTAAAATTCACTAAATCCTCACCAAAACTTCCTATAAAATTCCACAAATATTCTAAAAGTTCCTAAAAATCCTTAAACTAACCCTGGCTCTTCTTAAAATAAAACTAAAAAGTCATTATTAAATCTAATTTAAAAACGCCCAACCCATACTAACTCCTTACCCCTAAAACACGTCTTCTCTATACAAACCAACCTAGCAGAAGAGCAAAAATTCCTTGAATCTCTCTCTTTTATACAAGAACATGACGTAAAAGTTGGAAACTGTTGGACATGTTGGAAAACGTTGGAGAATCTCTCGTGACATTTCCCGTAAACAGCAAAGTCTATAGAAAATCTAATAACTACATACAAGACAACTTTTCTGAATGAAAGTAATCTCCAAATACATTCTTCAATTAGAATAAGTCAATTAATCTCCATTTAAATCAACAAATAACACAATTAACTCCAAAAATCCTAAAACTATCGTAACTTTTACGATCGGGCTCGACCTACACAATTTACGACCGCCAAGTTCGTAAACAAATCTACCAGTCTATAAACTGCCGATAATTAACTGAAAACAAGTTAAACTTCAAGAAAACACGATTTCATCTATAAATCTATGGTTTATCTTCTACAGAAGACCAATCAAAGTCCCTGAAACATGAAGTAAGCTAAAATAATACCACAACTTTACTACTGCTATGATCAGCTGATTTCTACGTAACTCAAAACATGTGCACAAACTATTTCAACTCATGTAAATCACTTAAACTTGTCAATAATCACCTATCAATTACATGCAAAGCATAAATTAATACATATTCCTGCAATGTCAAGTAATTATAACACATATACAAATTCATCTTAACTCTCCTACATGTCAACAATAATCAGGTTCAATAACTCTGTATAAAACTAATCTGTCAAATCTCTGGACCGTTACACTACCCTCCTCTCAAAATATTCGTGTCCTCACAAATGACTTATCTCAAGTAAATGTCAAATCTAAACATTAAGGTCAAAGTGTCTACCTTACAATGTACAATCATCAATACATTACAATAATATGACATAACATCTGAAATTAGAACTTTGGCTATAATTTACACATATCAATGCTTTAATTTACCGTCCTTTATTCTTTCCTAGAATAGAATATCACTTAGCACAGTTCCATTTAACACAATTCCATTTAGCACAGTTCCATTTAACACGATCACGCGCAGTTCCTGGTCCTTCTCATCAAGGCATCGTCTCGTCAGATTACTTCTTCCCGTCAAGCATCACTGTCTGGTCCTATGGTCCATCTCTGCTTGGCTCATCATCATCACCTCATACCATCATGGTAATCGTCAAAGCTGTAAAACGTTTACCTTTGTGTTCTCCTTATGTGGATCCTCTGTGAATGATGGGGGTCTTGCTCCACCAATGCCCCCTTCTCCTGTCCCCTTCATGGCGAGATTCCTGATGATTCCAACGTTGGTTTCCCACTGCACAGGTAAGGCTGCAGTGATGGTTCCATCGTTGCCACCATGGACAGTGGATTTCATAGATGGCACTAAGTACAGTCTCTTCACTGGCACTGCACCATAGCCGGTATCCTTTCCTTGACTTTGAGGTAACATCAATGTGTCAGATCCTAAGTCAAACTTCTTGGTTTCATCTTCTTCATCTCCCTGGATGATCACGGTATTCACCTCTTCCTCAGAGGAATCTGCAATGCTGACTCTTCTACCATTGTTATTCTCAACAACATTATCTGCCATTGCCACTGGATATCTAGCAGCAAACTCTTCCAACGGTTCCACTATAAAATCATTTGACACTTCACGACACTCATCTTCTTCTCTATCAACAAGTACTGGTATATCCACAATCACATCTGATCTGGCGGGAATTACATAGTCTTCCGCAGCGCGAACTTTCCTGAGACGGCTGGGTTGATGGTTCTGAATGCAAGGAACGGAACAACCATTCAACAGGATGACACCCTCACTAAGATAAATATTTGCTGGTCCACCTGGACCCTTCATCAGCACATCTAAGCCCAATAACGCTTCATCTTCAATTTCAGCAACAACTAATTCTTCCTCAAACTTCAGTTCTCCTAACTCAAACTTGAACTTGGCTTTCCCCATCTCCTTCAGAGGTTGGCCATTTACACTGGTTAACATGTAAGACTTCTCTAAGTGGGGTCGTACATCCTCAGGGATCTTCCTGTAGGCTCGGTCTGATAGCACCGTCCGGATAGCTCCTGTGTCGACTGTAAGCATGACCTTCATGCCTTGAATCTTCCCTTTTATGTAGATGCCCTCACTCCTCATGAGTTGTCTTGCAATTTGTGTGATACCTTGATCACCAAGGGTGGTTACTCCTGTTGGTTGTGTTGTCTCCTGCATTTTCCTATGACCGTTATCTTTCCCTTCAGTTTGGGTCACTCCCTGGTCAACAGGAGTGACCCTCTCTAGTTTGACGACAAGTGGGTCAAGTTTGGAGAGGAACTTTGCATCAAGGTTTCATCTCCACTTCGCTGGATATCGTTGGGTCGCTGTTGATTGGCAGTACTAAGAGTACTCTGTTGGAATCTCCCCTCGTTGTTACGAGTTTTCTGTTGATTCCTCAGTGGACAGCTCCTGGCAAAGTGTCCGTTTTGGCCACAAGCAAAACAAATTCCATTATTTGGTCTACTTGTTTGAGGATCTGCTTGTCCCCGGGGTGCTGGTAGGTTACCATTGTAAGGTGATCTTACATTGAAGGCATTGGTGGGATTTTCCCTCCTCCCTGGCCATTGCTTTGAATCAGATGATCTCTCTTTAGGCTGTATCTGAGATCTGATCCTTTCATCTACCAACTGATTTACCAGATTTTGAAGATCTCCTTCCTGTATGGTGATAGTCCCTGGAG